CTCCAGCCTCTCGCATTCCTTCATGTAGGGGGGAGGGGGGGGTGATCCCTCCCTCGGGCCGCCGACATTCCATTCCTATTGTTTCTACACAAATTATTTTTTTCTCCTTTAAGCCGCGTTTACACCGGAGTTTGAAACACGAGTTGCAAACAGAAATTGCAAACATCTCTAAACACGCCAATTTTTAGACGAAACTTTTTGCTGTTGCAAACAGTTTTTCAGTGTTTGCAACAGAAATTTTTGTTTCCACTTGAAGTCGGTAAAGATCAAAGGGAGTTGCAAACTCTTTGTTTGCAACACTAGTTTCGGTCACTATGAGCCGTTGAAACACGAAACAGAAACATTTCTCCGCCATCCCCTACGCTACCACCTCCTGTCTCACTCACGTGATCACTCGCACCACCCTGTATCTCGACTCAGTGTTATTAACCCTGTCTGTACTGATAAGCCTGGCTACTAGCTACCTCCTGTTTGTTGTGACTTATTTCGTATCGTGCGTGTTGTGTTGTTGTGATGGAAAATCTACTGAGTGAGATGGAGAGGGGAGATGACAATATTATTAAGTCAACTAGCTTGTACAGAGAACAGGAAGTGCTTAGGAATCAAACTATTTCTGACTATACAAATAAAAACAAGTAAAACTATGCGTGGAATGAAATTTTACGAGAAATGAACTTAAGCAAGGCAGAGGTCCAAAATAAGACGAGGAACCTCATAATTAAATTTAACAGAGAATCAAAAAAGGGCAATAAGTCTGGATCGGGGGCCGACGATGTGAAAACCAAGTGGAAGTTTTTTTTCAATCAATGATGTTAATCAAGGTCGAAATTATTTCAAACAATTTCATGAAACATGGAAACAAAACCATGAAATAAAAATTGCAAACTTTTATTTGAAACTACTGTTTGCAACTGCTGTTTGCAATAAAAGTTTGCAACTTTTTGTTTGAAACTCCGGTGTAAACGCGGCTTTAGGGCCAGCCAAGGCAAGGGCTCGCGCTCGCAAGGTCGCTAGGCGAGAAGTCGATTTGGTCTTTAACTTCGGCCTTGGTGCTGATATAAACCCTCAACTTATGTATGCTAATCCTGCTTTTTTCTTGACATTGACGAATTGTTAAGATGAAAAGGATTTAATTCAAGAAAGGTTGTGGATCAAGTTAAGGTCTATATTATATTACATTTAATTCATAAACGTTTGAAATATGTCTAAAAGTTGTTCCTAGTATAACCAAAGTGGTTGGTTTTCTACAAATTGCAACTTAAGAATTTAAGTTGTTCACATTTATAGTCTGATCGGAGTTAAACATTTTACATGGTAAATGCTAAGCGAATATTGAAAAAAGTTCGTGTTGCTAGAAGTTTGTAGTTAGCGTGTACAGTATTCCACAATAATTCGTAAGTAGCTCCTAGCAGTTCTTGGGTAGTTCTCTGTTTGCAGATCACAGTTTGTACCATATAGCTACTGGATGTTATAAATTTAATGCTTATATAGCTGCTCTCATTTATCTCGGTTTTCAGTTTGTAGGTTTATACCTATTGTACTATTGTACCCACACAGACACAGTAAGTTCTTAGACGTTAGTGTAGGACTATTTAACTCATTGCAATTTATAGTTCGTTCTTAACTGTTTGAATTTAGTTTTTTTTTTTCTGTGCACAGTTCTTTGTTACAGCCTTTTTGATTTCAATGTTTACACTTCACAATACAGTACGCCTTTTGTAGTTCACATCAAAAATAGTTTTTTGCAGTTAACATTTCTTTTTTTGGTGACGTAGTTCACTTTCCACTGTCTGCAGTTGCAGTTCACATTTCGTCAGTTCGAAGAAGCGAGCCCAATTTTGATGTTTTCAATTCGCATTTTACTTTTGTATTTTAGATTTCGTTGTTTGTAGTTCACACTTAGTTTTTTCCAGTTGACAAGTTGTTAAACAATCATAATTTCGCAGTTCGCAGCTAGCACACGCACTCAGCGGTGTTTCCCAACGCAATTTCGTATGCAAGTGAGACTTGGTTATTCAATAGATTTCGCAGTACATTCTCCAGTGACTCGGGCCCGGTAAGGAATCCCGGCTATGCGGCCCGACTACAAGGTCAGTCTAACCCTACGCGTTCAGGAATGCTAATCAGCCAATGAAACTTGCATAGTCCTTGCACGCCGGGCGACTATTGATGGATCGGTTGGGTTATAACAATCACGGCGTAGACGCAGGGCAAGACCTTGAGGGGAAATTCAGTCAAGGATTGAAACAGGCAACGTTGAAGAGATTGAGGTTTGTCTAGGAATTTACATGAAGAAATAACTAGTTGAAATTGTTATCCCATTCAACATTTATAACTTTCTATTCCTAACGGGGAAATAGAAACACTGTCCAAAACCCTTTTTATCGATCAATACTAAACTCTGAAAGATCAACCTCAGGCAAACAATGATGTTGTCACGAATCACGTGACTTCATATAGAATTTTATCTCGTCCGTGCCTCGTCGTACTACGATATTCTCGTCGCTACTCGTCGTTATAGTATTTGCGAGTGTTCTCTGTGCAATACTAGCTCTATAACGATTTTATTTCAGAATTATACATTAATGACAACGTTTTTTCTGAGAACTATAGTTCTCATATATATAGTAATTGAGATTCTCGATCATGTGGAAATGGAAGATTCCAGAACTCACATTAACGAGATTGAACTGAAGGATCTTTTTAGTTTGTATGTCTTGTTGGCCAACATATTTGCCGTGGTTACTTTTACCAGGTCTACGGATTGCACGAAGAAGGAGATGCAGTATAGATGGAGGATGGAGATTACGAGTAGAAGTAGTTGAGGAGAAAGCCACGAGGGATTATTACTGGGCCGGCGCTGGGCGTAGTTTTATGGAATACCCTGTAATCTCGTCGTCCCATCTCACAAGGCTACCGTTCATTTGTGAGCCGCAGTCAAAAATCAGATAGTCGGGTCGTCATCACAGCCTACGGAATCTATCAGGATAGACTTCTCAGTATCACTTGTATTGTAAAAATTACCCAACAATACACAAACAAATCACTCCATAACGGTGAAACACGACGGTCAGCTCATTGTTTAGATTTGCAGTATATCGCAACATCACTCAGCTCATTGTCCAACGATGCAGAATATAACAACATATCACTCCTCAGCTCATTGTCCGTTATTTCATAATATAACAACTAATCACTCCTCAGCTCATTGTCCATTATTTCAGAATATCACAACATATATTACTCCTCAGCTCATTGTCCAGCATTGCAGAATATCACAACATATATTACTCCTCAGCTCATTGTCCAGCATTGCAGAATATCACAACATATCACTCAGCTCATTGTCCAGCATTGCAGAATATCACAAGATATCACTCAGCTCATTGTCCAGCATTGCAGAATATCACGACATAAGACTGAGCTCATTGTCCAGCATTGCAGAATATAAGATATCACTCAACTCATTGTCCAGCATTGCAGAATATCACAAGATATCACTCAGCTCATTGTCCAGCATTGCAGAATATCACGACATAAGACTGAGCTCATTGTCCAGCATTGCAGAATATAAGATATCACTCAACATATTGTCCAGCATTGCAGAATATCACGACATATCACTCAGCTCATTTTTCAGCATTGCAGAATATCACAACATATCATTCAGCTCATTGTCTAACATTGTAGTTCATCACAGCTAATCCCCTAACTGTCTATAATTGGAGTTTACATCACATCATTTAACTCATTGTTCCAAAGCTCAGTCAAGTCATAGACAAATAGAAATTAATAGCTAACCATTACTGAAATCCCATTTATTGCTAAACTGAATCCAGTGTTGCTTATACTATTAGCTGAATATACAGGGATTTCTATAAACTAGGTTCTGTACTCCTGGGAATGGGGAAAAATTAATGGGAGTTTGGGAACAATTCATACAGACTTAAACCCCTTTACTACATATAGATCATTTTGTTCTTCTTCAACCTATTATTGTCTTTCAATATTTTGCAATCAATCTTTTTATGAAACCAGGTATGTGTATTAAGGTAATGGAACACCTTGGTGTGTATTCTATTTTGGAACACTTTAATAGAATTTTGTTACTTATAAGTTATAAAATTACTCAACATTACTTATCTATATAGGCCTACTTATTTAATACGCAAGCAGGTTTTTTGTGACAATTACTCCTCCGAAACTACTGAACCGATTTACATGTTCTTGGTGTCATTGGAAAGAGCGTAACGTGAAGTTGTGCAGGAAACTTTCTTTTTAGGAAAATAATTTAGAGGGTGAGGCTCTGGGGCCCTTTAAAGTTGTGTATTTCTCCATAAGATTAACACGGGAAACAAATATTGCTATGAAACTCCAGCTGTTGTCAGAAATTAAAAGTGAGAAGAAGAACATTATGTTGATTGTAACCTGTCAATAAGTTTGCTAATTTACCAGTTATTTGCTACAAACATTTACTTGGTTGAAATGAAATAGTTACTATTTGAATTTGGGTTGATGTAAATATTACAATGGAAAAAAACGAGAGAGCATGGATAAATTGATATACTAAAAAAAATTGAACTAACACTGTGCTGCATTTCTTAATAATTATTGAAAGACCCGATTTGCAAACTATGGAAATATCGGAAAGTCATAGAAAACAACCAAGGAGAAGAAAAAGAAATAATGTTTTTTAAAATTTATAATCGTTATTATGGACAACCTAATGCGGCTATTGAGTAAGGCTATTTGTAGAAAACACTAAAAAAACAATATCAGCTTTTGAAAAATGACAAGATATTTACAAGAAATGTTGATTATATCGACCTGTTATGTACGCATCTTGAGTATTTCCATAATATTTGAATCGAATCTTATATTGAAAGTCATCAGAAATTATGACTGTTAGTCGTTTTAAAATAACGCCTGAAATTCTTAGCAATTGCTCGAATTCGAGCAACAGGGACACTAGTAAGTTATAATGAAATGTTGTTTTACAGATGGAGAGTATTTGTTTGCTGACCCGGACTACAAGCTGTCTAAATATGCCCCTAAAAACTGGCGATCTTCATCCACCAATGTAAGTACAGCATCAATATATATTTCAAAAACATATTTTTCATAAATTAAGACTGTTTCTTTTTTCTCTGTGTCTGCAGTAAACTTATATCTTGATAATGAGCGGAAAATTTGACTATTCACATAAATATACTATCTCATTCCCATGTGTCAAGGCTGTACTTATAATAACACAATGGTTAAATTCAGCCACCAACAGTCTAATTGTATAATTTATTTTACCATTTTCAGCCTTGAAACATAGGATTGATGACCTGTAGACCTGTAGACTTGTTCACCATGCAGTACCATGAGTTGCTTTATAATGAGTCTGGTTTAGCATATTGTGTCATTGATCTAATAGTTTTGTTTGCTTGCACAAGCAGTGTTGTTTTGCTGCACAGTCTTGTTTCGTGACATTTTTATTGTTTTCCCAACTGATTAATATCTTCTTAATTGTGTTTAGTACAAAAGTAAATGTAAGTAAAACTGACAAGACTTATTACGTATTGTGCATTTTTTAAGATACCTAATTAAATAAGAAATTAGGATGACCCAGCATTGCTCGGCTTTCCAACGCAATTAATTCAATGGTTCCACCGGTTCACTATTACTCCCTACCTCCATTTGTAAGGATAGCATCTCACTGTCCTCCAATCATAAATTAAAATCCTCTTTGGTTTAAGGTTTGTTTATGATCAGCTGTTATATTTATTTATTTTTGTTTGTTGATGTTTAAAATTTGTGTTGTTATTTCGTTGCTAAAGTAGTAACCTATAAAGGCTCACTGAAACATTTTTTACTTTTGATAAATTTTTTTAAGTATTTAGATTTTTGTTGGCAGTTTTAACTGCATGAAATACGATTTTGGGCCAGGGATAAATCATCTATAACATTTGAAGGAAAGATGTCGAAGCCGGTTTCGAGATCTTTCTGCAAGCGAAAAGCAAGCATGCATACAAAGAAACATAGCTTATATCCTATAGGATTGCAAGGTTGGCCGATGAATAAATATTTAGAATCTCAGAATCCACTAACATTTCATCTTAAGTAGTTTTTTTTAGTACCCCTTAGTAAACCAACTTTAAAGAAAATTTAAACTGTATTGGACAGAAATCACAATATTAATTAGAACATTGTCAGTTGATCCAAAGTTTTGAGGATAATCAATTGGTTTCAAATCTAAAGGTACATTCCATTTTCAAGTAAACTACCAAGCTTTATGAATAATTTTGTACAACGTTTTTGTGTGTTTGTAAGCCTGCTTTATATGATTCTCTACCGCCCTGTTGATACAAATTATTATTTATTTCCTTATATTGAACTTGAGAGTGAATCTTAAGGTTTGAAACCTGTTTTTTCACCATCTTTTTTTGTTTAGCTGTGCAGTTGGAAGTAAAATTTTAAAAGTATACTTTGTAAACCAATGTAAATAACCAAAGTATATTATAAAGCCACAAATAAGTTCATTCCACCTTCAACAGACTTATAATTGTTGTATCAAACTCACACGGATTGTTTTGATCAGTCCTAAAAAACAAAGTTATTAAAAGTACTTTGACTTTTTCTCTTTGCGCTTCAAAGATTCATTACGATAAAAGTTTTAAGTCCCGTAGTTATGGCAAGTCATTAACCGTCGGATTCCCTAGTCGATTGAAGGATTTTGCAATCCACGGCGGGACGGAGCTGAATGGGCCGCTTTGTTCCCCATATTTGGTCACTGCCGCGCCCTCAAGACCAGTTTTTTATCACCGGCACATACAAGCATTCACATGTGCGCTTTTTGTTTATGAAAAGCCGACTATTTACCTTTATGTTCTCCCTTGGTTTCTTCTCCAGATTTTCCTTGTGTCAATCCAAGTGTTGACATGCAACAACTTCATTGGTATTGACACATATTATAATTTCGGTAAAAACAAAAGCATTATTGGGAAAATTATAAAATTTCCCAATTTTTACCAGTCGAGTAGATTGAATAAATTTGGATGCTACTGCTCTTTATTTTCTACTATATTGATATGCTGAAAATGGTAGGCTTATGGTAACTCGTTGAACTGTAAGCAATTAGGCTTGGCACCAAATTTGTGCCATTAGAGCACCCCATGTAGTTTTGCTAAACAAAATATAAATTTAAGAACTGACTGCAAATTCTGATACAGTTCAAATATGATACTTGTACACAAATTGGAGTAAACATTTTAAACTCAATTGCGAATAAACTGGATGTGAAATGTGCCCTGAAATTGTTGGTAAAAGTATTTTTCAAGTACAATATAATAATACTTGTTTGTTTGTTAACAGGGACTGGATTGCAATGGAAAACCCCTTTTGGTTCTCCATTTCAGGGTCAAATTCTACCTTGAGAGTCCGCTCCTGCTCAGGTGTGTACCCCACTATAAATACAGAGACAAATATGGCATATAACTCTAATAAATTTCAAACTTAAGCCATTATTTGAATCTTCCAAAATATGATGCTAAAATATATTTACCCGTATTCTGTGATTTAACTCATTGTAAAGTATGAAGTATTTTTGTCAGTGACTAAAATAACATTTTTGACTTTTCTTCAATAAATAACTTCTTGATCAGCATTGTACGTGTTATTAAATTTACGGAAAGTAAATAAAGATACGTCTTATAACACTTAAAACATATATTTACGCTTCTACTGTTACTCACAAGACGGTAAATATACAAAAGATGGTAAGTGGTGATCGATTTCGATTGGATACTCCAATCATCATCAGACCCAATAGGTGAATCTGTTGTAGAAGCGTAAATATATGTTTTAAGTGTTATAAGACGTATCTTTATTTACTTTCCGTTTTCTTCAATTTCCGAGCTAATTCGAATCTACAATAGTTAAATAATTTGGAAAAGTTGACGCACAGATGAGCTGAACAGTTTTTTAAAATCATTTGTTTGTAGTAAAGTATTTTGGGATAAAAGTATAAATCATCATTCCAACCAACAAATTATGCATTAAAAGAGATGAGTCATTTATTCAGTAGACATTTAAATTTAGAGACTGACACATCAATTACTAATCTAACGACTAAGCTGTGCTGCATGTAATATAAAGCAATAACAGTGAACAGTGATAACTTTACAGATTGCTTGTAAAAACAGGTATAAGTTTTATCACAGTTTAATTTAAGTTTTTTCAAATATCAGGAATGATTAAAAACTGGCACACTTTCCTCAGAAATCTACTACTCGAATAAAATTCCAACTTAACAATTGACATTGCACTAATCAATGTGATGATATATTTTACAGAGACGAGACATCACGCCACCACTACTACCGACAGTTGCGCTACAATGTGGTCGCACGCGGGTTGGTGCACGCATGCGCCTCTGAGGAAGTTCTCTACCTGTTGGCCGGGCTTGCGCTGCAGGCAGACTTTGGCGACTACAGCGCATTGCCACCCCAGTCACTACAGAACTACTTCAAACCCGCGGACTACTTTCCTCAGCAGGTAGGTTGGAGATTTCTCTAGGTAATTTCACTTGAAGGTCTTCTTTGGAGAGTGAGTCGCTCAGTCGGTAGCGCCTCAGACTTCTGACCCAAGACATGTGGTGGGTTCGTATATTGGTACCTGCCACTAATTTATCAGTACATTTCACCCTGTTCCGGCTCACCAAGTACTTGTCCGGTGGAATTCTAAGGAAGAGAAAAAGTAAAAATAAAAATTTACATCCTCCACAATGTGAAGGAATTGTTTCCTACCTCAACCAATCTTTATATCTTTAATATTCACCAGGTCTGAGTTAGTACAAAGCTATAAAAATTATTTCACTAGTCCCAGATGTTCATTCCTTGGATTAAAATATCCAGTTGTGTCACCACAAGAAATTCATTTAAATGGTAGAATCTCAACTTCAATCTGTGTTTAGATTGTTCAACCAAAACAATTCATGTAATCAAGAACATCGATATTGTTAGCCTAATTAATAACTTCTTACAGATGGTATCGAGCGGGAGTGAGGCGAGAATTGTACAGACAGCTGCCAGTCTCCACCGAGCGTACCGGGGCCTGTCGCAAGCCGAGGCCGAGAATCAATTTATCCGAGAGGCATCGTCGCGTGACACCTCCCCTCTCACTCACAACTCCCACCTGTATCGTCTAAAGCAGCGCAAGCAGGACGCCGGGCCTGGTAACGTGCTGTTAGCGATCTGCACCCGGGGAATAGAGCTTTATCAGGTAAACCCAGTGGCTAAAATGATTTTTGGTAAAATTGTCAATCTTGCATTCTGTGTAAGTTATCTTTGATTCTTCATTCAGAGTAAATATTTCCTTTCTGTTTTAGAGCTGTAGCCAGTTACGTTTAGGTAGTTGAATTGAGTCGCCGATGTCAATTACTCATTTCTGTAAAATATGCCCTTTTCATCCATGTCAAACTGTACAACAACACATTGTAAAATATTTCACCTTTTTATCCATGCCAAACTGTACAACAACATGTTGTAAAATATATATCATATTTTATATTACTTCAACTACTGTAAAATCAAAAACAAACTGGCCCTGATAATTAGTAGACCATGTAAGGGACTCCTTTAACAGTGTTGTAGATGTTTGTAAAAAACTAAAATTGGTCCATGATGCCTACTTCAGTACAGTCTAAAAAAATGGTAAAATGTAGTTGGAGTAGAAAAATATACAAATTCAAAAGTTAAACATTAGAAATAAGTGTTTACTTCATCCTCCAATTATTTTTTAAGGGAAAACTAAAAAGATTGACGATTTTAAAATAATTTTAAACTTAATTTTCCCTGTTTTCCTTCTTTGATTAACTCTAATTTTTGCCAAATAAAATAATGTAGGCTCATGACTCTTTTACTTATTCTCAGTGTGTCTGCAGTGTACAACATACAATTTTTTACCGTACTTTTCTAGATAATAACTCCCACTAAGTCAAATCGTAACCTGGATTTTTATTGATTATTCTGTCTACAGGAGAATTCTACCAAAGCATTAAGCGGAACTTTTTTATGGAACGACATTGGCAAACTGTGTTTTGATGTAAGTATTATTAGGTAATAAGTTTTGCATATATTTTGTTTAACTGATCACATTTAATTTATGTTAATTAGGAAAAAAAAACATTCTACCCAAATAATAGAGTGTTCTTTGAAATTATTTTCTCAACTGATTACTTACAGTTGAAAACACAAAAAAGAAATCAGCTTTGACATTTCTATTAACCAAATGTTTCTTCGATTGGCCGCTCAGGTATAATTTTCCTGAAGTAATTCAGTGGCTCTTCAATTAACACATTGAGTTATGATCTGTCTACCGCTGTCCCAGGCGCTGTAGCTCAGTAATTAAACGCTTTGCGAATTTAATTGAGGCTCGGTCCACAATCTTGCTATGTATATTGTGTTTAATTTATGTAAATAAATGTATAGACCGTCACACGGTGTTGTCCTCATTAGTACAATGTTATTCATAACATTTAATCATTAACATTCTTTTTTTATGAGTTGCACGTTTTTTATGAGAACCGGACTTGGAGAGGCAGTTTCTCACACTTTTTATTCCTCGGACCAACTTAAATTAGTCCTCTACATTTTCACAGGCTTTTTGTAACTCCCGGATTTAATTGCAGCTATGAATGGCATTAGCTATGTTGCCTGTGAATTCATTGATAAATCTTGACAATTACTCTAATTCTTGCTACAATAAAGTCCAATTTTGTATGCATTCCCACAACTGTTAAAGAAAAAAAACAATTATAATATTATAATAGTATAGTTTCCTAGTATAGTATAGTAGTTATTATAGTATTCCACCTCAAACCCTGGTCAAATTCATTATTGAGATTATCTTTTAATTATTTTGTAGACACAATCAAAATGCAGAGATGACGGAAATAAAATATTTGACCTTCATCTTACATTTAATAGTTTTAGTAGAGGTAATAATACTTAAATATTGTTTGAGAAAACCGTTGAAAAAATGTAGAACAGTAATGTAGAAACAATAATTAAATTTTGTAATTGTCAATAATGTTAAATTACACTACTATAAATCTCGATGGCTTGAAAATGGACCAAGCTATCATTTATCATTGGACATTCAAATGTTCCTGTGTAAAGCTGACCCAGCTGATTTAAGTGACCATAATTAAAGTGGTAATCTCAACATTAAACATGCATCCTTCACTCATCTTCCATGAAACACACACTCTGTTTTAAGGCTTCTTTAAGCTATTACAATAATTACAAAATATCCTTCTTTGCATTAAATTACACATCGCAGTCCAACGTACTTTACAAACTTTAAGATGAATATAAATGAGGGGCGAGTGTAGAACGGAATGTATTGACTTGTCTATTTCTGACTAAAATCAGCTGTTTCCTTGGACCATTTATTTCAAGACTAATGATCAAGGTCAGTTAGAATGGTAGAAAATCAATAAAAAACCGTATACCTTTTAACAATAAAATATATTTTTTTTTATTGACTTATATTGATTCTAACAGTTGTTTTAACTTCTAATAATTTGTCACAGCGTAAAAAATTTGAAATTCGAGCCCTAAATTGGCCAACGTCCGGCGAGAAGCTGACCTACTACACTAACAGCGATGAGAAAGCCAAACATCTTCTCGCTCTATGTAGAGAGAGCCACCAATTCAGCATGGCACTTGCACCGAGACTCGGCGACATCCGGCGCAAAGAGGAGGAGGGTATGTTATTAATCCTTTTGTAGTTATTTGTTTTAACAACAGCTGGAGTTTCATAACAATTTGTGTTTCCCATGTTAATCTTATGGAGAAATACGAAACTTTAAAGAGCCCCAGGGCCTCACTCTCTAAATATTCCTCTAAAAAGAAAGTTTCCTGCACAACTTCACGTTACGCTCTTTCCAATGACACCAAAAACATGTCATTCGGTTCAGTAGTTTCGGAGGAGTAATTGTCACAAAAAACCTGCTTGCGTATTAAATAAGTATAGATATAGATTTTAAATACTCCTCTAAAAACACTACTTCATAGGTACTTAAGTACTTTTAAAAGCAACCTAGGAAGTAACTCGACGTAAACTTTGGTAAGCTGGATTTTTTATTCAAACTGATCAGGAATGTTTTACGTAGAACGCAAGAGGTACCGAGACTGGGGTTTGGGGAACGGTGTCGTTTGTCACCGAGGAGATCAGAGGATCTCGGTGATATCCTCGACATCGAGTAACACCACGAGCGGCATCGTGTCTGACCGAGTACACAGCCTTGATGAGAGCGAAGGTTTGTTTTTTCATAATATCCTTTAGCTTTGGTAAAAATTCTTACCTCAGCTTCTTGACCCAACTTTGGCTTAAAGTACACAACAGTCTACAAAATATTTTTTTTTAATTAAAGCAAAAGCTACTTGTCTAATTTACAAGTTGTTTTAGACAGGGATTGAGTTCAGTTAGAAATGAAGGCTTAAGAATACACTATCCATAATTATTTTGTCCCAGTTTGTACTGACCTGAATAAGTTACACTAGGGAAAACAACAGATGCTTTTTCCTGGCGAACATTTTTATCTTCTTGTGACTGTTTAAAGTAAAACATCGTTATCACATAAAATGTATATGCCATAGATCTTAAGAATGTGAATTTACACTTTTTAAAGATAATCAGCTAGATAAACTCAAATTTTTGACAAAACTTATTGACGTTTAGTTAAGTAAGTTTAGTCAATATTGTTTACATATCTAACTAAAAATGGATGATCCTGCCAGCAGATGACCTGGAGATGGAGATTATGATCAATACTCCACCGGCTCCCTCGATAGAGTCTCTGGCCTTGGCACATCTCCAGGATAGCGTCACGCCTCCCTCTCCACGACCATCCCTCAAGAACCAAGGTAAATAGGCTATTAGTAATACTCTATTTTCCCGCAGAGAAGTAATAATAATGTTTTTTAATAGATCGTGAAAATGCCGGAGACTTGTGAACGGCGATAAGAGGAATTTTGCTTGAAATAAGACTGTGCCAGTTCCCTTTTAAACAAAACAAGCATAGAGCGCATTTTTTTGGAGAACTCGGCCTACACAAAATCTTTCTTACACTCTGGTCTTATGACTCTTCAAACAAACCTCTTCATTCTGCCCTCAGAGTTGTTGTCAGTTCAAACACCAATATGGACATAGTTGTATTGAGCCACCGGTGGGTGTTAATCCCGATTTTAGTCGAATGTGCCATAAGTCAAACTTATGGGATGACTAATTGTAAGCTATAGTGACTTTGTCATATATCTCAAACTCAGTAACAAAAAATTAGACTAATTAAAACAATAACAGAATTATTGACAATGCACTCTGTGAGTACAGTAGAACCCCTGTTGTAAGTTGTACCCTACATGACTGACTTTACCACAGGAGCAGACTATGTTGATGGCAATGGCGGGGCCAAACCTAGCGCAGGAGGGGCTGGTACCCCCGCCACTACAGACGGCAGCCAGTGTTCCTCCTCCTGCTCCACCGTCGTGGTTGCAGGCACCACCTCCGAACCTATCACTGTGAGTACCAGGCTTTACGTTATAACTTCAATTGAAAGCGACGTACTTTGTGTACGTATTTTAATTTGAATGAGTGAAGGACGAAAGCATAATACAGTGGGATAACCTGTATCTTTGTTACTGCCTATGATCAGCTGTTTCTGTAGACAAATACATTTATTAAAAGTTGAATGATCAAGAACAGCTGAGCTTTAGACTCAAACTTTGCTATTGACTTTTCTGAGGATCGAATTGGGGGCCATCAGCAAGCACTATATCCACCACTCGCCTACCCAATTATATACTTTACTTGTGTTTTCAGTTTTCACAATCTTAACCTTATGTGCAGGTTTGTTTTGACTCAAAATTAGTGTTTTAAACTATATTTCAAGGCTTATGATACTGTTTCCCCCTGCAAACTAGATTCGTGTTCACCATCAAATAAGCACAGAAAGTTTGTTGCTATCTTAATAATATAAAACCGAATGATCATTGAAAACGAAATCAAACCTCATTATTCCTAAAAAAACAGCCAAGACAAATGTGCAAAAGTTCTCGTTCAATTTGTGCTCACCACATTTGATCCTGCTACTTTCTAGTGAATGTTATGTTTGAATTTGTTGTCTAACAGAGAGAAGGGAAACGCTTGGTTACCAATAGAAGACAAGCCAGTACCAGCTCGAGTCTAGAACTCGGATACTCTCATACAGCTCAGAACTCGGCTCTCAGTGACACCAGCGTGAGTCTGGAACTCGACTACAGGTAACTTAAATGACTCCATTTTTATTTTATTATAATAGACAAAGATTTGCCTGCTTCCAATCTTCATTATGAATTTAACCATTGGTGCAGCAAGGTGCAAAACAAAAGACATAAGTTTAAACAATTTATCAAATTTCTCTTTCAGAAAAAAAGACTATATCCTTTACAATTTCTCTCAACATTCCCTCCCATTACTTAAAGCTTGAGTTTTTCCACATACTTTTGTGTAACCATGTAACTGTATTGTGTAGCGTACAGTCCGCCCACACCAGCAGTGGAGTGTACACTCTACGCAGCAGCACCGCAGCCACGGGTCACACCATGGCGTGCTCCAGTCAGACTTCTGGGATTGTACTTGACCAGAGTGAAGGTAAGCTTTTATGCTTTCATGTAATTCAGCTTTGATTTGCTATCAGATTGCGAAGGCAAAACAAATAAAAGACAGCTAAACTTTTCAGCATCCTTTAAATTGAATATTCAGTGACTTTTTCTAAAAAAGTTTGTGCTGTTGCAGGTCGTCACTCCCGCAGTGGATCGCTCGTCAGTGCGACAGGAAGTTTCCACGGAGATGGAAGTGACCCGTCGGATGCTGGCCGAGGAACTCTCTTATCAGCCGAGGAGTTGTCCGATCTGATTGTCGGTAGAAGTCCTAAGCCACGGAGAGGAATATACCCGTCTCGGGCTACAGTCAGTTCCACGTTAGATTCTGATTCCGACTACGTGACGTTACCCCCTCCTCCACTTCCACCCCCTAGATCTGACTCAGAAAAACCGTCTTCCACTTACGCTATTCTAGAACTCGCTTCAGCGTTGTCTTCACCAGAAGAAACTCTAACAAGTCCTCTGAGGTTGGACGATTCTTTATCGAATTTGAGTTTGTCTTCCAGAAAGTCTATGGAGGAGTCTATTTTGCAACAGCAAATTCAGTTCCAGCATTTGAATTCGAGATTTTCTCCTCAAAAGCAAACAATTCAGCATTTTTCATCGAGCTCTACACCTCTCAGCCATACGGCGCCAAAAACTGTTGTTTCTACCTCAAGCACTGCGGTGCAAACAACAGATTTGCCTGAGTATTTATCTCAACCACTCTCTATTCAACCGTCCAAACAGTTCCAGAACTCCTTCAATATGCAAAGCCAAACTTCTCCAAAGTCCCCGAATGGTTTCAGCCCCGTTCCGAATCTTCCCTCTCCGACAGAAGAGGCCAATGTGAGATTCATCAGCACAAAACCGCACATAAACATCTTAACTGCTCATGCGAGCTTGGTCGCTTCAACGGCCGCTCCGAGTTTTGCCGCACCGACCCTAGCCTATCAGACATCTGTCCCCACCTATACCTCCTCTCAAAGAAACTACCTCCCTGAAACTAGAAGTTACCCACTGGATCCGGCATCGAGGATGAAGATCAAACATCCCCAAAACACTCAAAATCTTATCCCTATCGTCGGGAGCAACAACTATCTGGATGTAAGAGGAAGTGGGGCAGCTTTCCTTCAACATTTCCATCAAAAATTCCCCCCACCTCCACCAGTTCTGCACCCTCGGCAGCCCCCACCACCCCCTCCACCTCCACCACCCAGGACTGCGCTACAGACAGTCTACACCAGCCAGGTTACCCGTAGTCAGATTGAGCAGTTCAAACAACAGTTGTACTCTGACGTCGACTATGTTATCTACCCCATGCAAGATCCAGCCATCAGTAAACAAGAGTATATGGACTCCAAGATGGCTTTGAACCACTACAACCAGGTTTATCCACCTCCACCTTACCCCTCGTACTCCGGCAAGTCTCACATGGTCTACAGAAGTACACCTAATGTGGCTGTTGCCAGTGGCTACATCCCAGTGTCATTCAAAAACCCAACAATACCTTCTCAAGTCAAATACGCTTCAAACACAAATCTGTCATCAGATTTTGCTGCCTACCCCGGTTCTTCATTCTCTTTCCTGAGCCACTATCCTTCATCGACTTCACCCCTGTACTCTGCAGCTGCTTCTTACTCTTCATCGTCCACACAAAGTTTACGCTACGACCCCTTTGCGCTACAAATAGGAGTGCCTAAGTTGATTTCTCCTATCGTCAACACTGGAGGATTCACCAGAACTCAGTCTGATGACAACATTTTGAATTCGTCCTATGAGAAACCAACGATTGAGCGAATTAGGATGAGGCGACCACCCCCACCGATACCTTCAGCTTTTGATCTTCAGGTACGGTTTCATTTAGTTAATTCACTGTTTACAATAATAAATTAGCCTACTCTCTAACAAGCATATTAAAAATAATTGCTGCTGAAGATTGTTATTAAACTGGAAGCTCCAGGATAGCTAATCCAACTTATCCAAATGTTTCTTTTGAAGTTCCAAATTTCCTAAATAATATATGAAAACGCTAGTAAATTTAATATAGTTACTACATCATCATATTCTATTTTAAAACTACTCATCTTCTCAAGTTTACAGAATCAATAAAACTCAACCTTTTTTCTTTTCACAGAAAGAATCAGATGTACAGAAGAAGCAGCCTCCCACACTGACTGTGCCCGCTACACACGCAGCACCCTCTGTCCCTCCAGTGCCTTTGGGGACAAAGACTTCTGGAGAAGAGAAGAAGAACACATCAGAGAAGGCCACGGCAGACGGACTGCTGGACATCCGCACACTTCGAGAGAAGAGCCGGAACATGGACCTGCCTCTGATATCTGCCCTGTGTAACGACCGCTCCCTACTGAAACAAACAAACGCGTTTGTCATGCCGCGACATCCCGGTGAGAAGAAGAGTGAAGGACGACCAGTTAGCTGGCACGTAGAGTCTAAGAAATCCCCAGAAGGTAAATCAGCACCTGTAGCCCTGGACGAAGGGACGCCTAAAAAGTCTCTTTTGTCATCGTTACTGTCGTCCAAATCCGTTAGCGAATCGACCTCGCCCAAACACTCTTATTCGACAGCGCCCAAAGTGAAATACCCTGTGTCTGGACTGTCGACAACGCAAATTGTCAAACCCGTGAGGAAAGGTACCAGCAGACACACCCATCCGGACAATAAAGTCGCTAAAGTCGGACGTAGCAAAAGCACGAGCAGCGCGACCACGAGCAGTGCCAATGTTAAAGAAACAATTTTACCTCAATGACAAACATGATGTGTATATTTAAAGTTTAGTTAGCTCTAAGTCCCGAGTATCCATAGAGATTCAGCCATGACATGATACTCAATTTTACATAAGGGAAATGCAATATCTTGAGTTCTTTTCTGTGATTTGTTGATTTGTTTCTATAATTTTTATCGTTGTTTTCAAAATGATCTGTGTTATATAATCCTTTTAAAGACTTAGTGTAGTTTGATTTAGTGAAGCGTTTGGATCCAAGTACAACACTATTGCTCAATATTAGTTCTTTGTATATTTATTATTTTACGAAATAGTCATTTTGAAATCTCTTTTATATAATTTGTTAGTCCTCAACTGGGAATTGCTTACTTCTTGCTTACCCTATTACATAATTACAATTAGTTTGTTGAAATGTTGTAATTTACACCTAACAAAATATTGTTGTTATCACCCTGAGGTACAGCCAGTATCTTTTCACCAAATATATGAATTGTATTGACCCTTTAAGGCTAATTATGTCTATAGTTTAACCATCAATAAAATAAGTACCGGTACACAATACCTACCATATTTTTATCAATTAGGTAGTTCCATTTACCATAACAAATTGTTCAAACTCTTGGTATTTGCACACTTCCCTTATTTAAAAATTGATTATCATAATTTGGTCTCTATGGTTGTACTTTCATAAATAAATCTTTATTGTATAATCTACTGTCATTATTATGAAACAATAATTATTGTTATAATGAAATTTATAAACAGTCATGGCGACCTATATGTTTAAGATATAAATTTTGACTTTTAGTCTTGATTCTGGCTCTTATGAACTTAAGAAAATTAAAAAAAAAACATTTAATGTTATTGTTATGTTCAGTCTTGTTTTTTACAGTATTACTATAGCCTCCTCTAATACAAGGCCTTGGCAAGACAAAAGTGGCCTCGGCCTACCTAAACAGATGTTGCACTAATTCATAACGGAGCTTCTCCACAATGTGTATGTTTACACTTTTGTTATTACTGTTATCAACATAGCAAAAAGCTGGTTGTTGCGACGTTGCCACACACTAACATGGAGGCCTTGTATCATTGGAAGCTATGTATACATATCAATGGTTGGAATAATAAAAAAATTAAATGATGAAACATTATACCATAGACTAAAAGAATTAAATATAGACAATCAGCTGTGCTGCGGTTACCATAGGTTCTGGGGCACACTGCTGGGAGCCCCATGAAGTTACGGCCTATGTGCTATGTAACTACAAGGCGCTCGCAGCAGTGTGCGCCAGAACCTATGGTAACCATGGTAACCGCAGCACAGCTGACAGTCTATTTAAATCTTTTTGTCTATGATTATACACAAGTTATTCATATACTTAAGTTTTTTTTTTCACATTAAAAAAATATCCTTTCTTTCATAGATAATTTGAAATAGATCCCAATGAATTCTCACCACACAATAATTCATGCTGGTTGGGATATTTGTTTTTATTTGTAATTTTAATTTTAATGTTACACATTATTTAACAATGTCAAAGGTATTTGATTTGTAAGTAAAGTTTCTTGTCTCATGCAAAAAATCCCTATATTATTCAGTGAAAGACCTCTTAACACAAAAACGTTCCTATGTAGTTACAAGATGTAGTAAAAATCAATTATATTATGTATGATTATAGGACACCCATTAAAATTCTGTCAAATAATGTTTTTGTGTTTTGTTGTCTTTGAATTATAATCATTTTTATTAAATACAAGCTTTCCTAAAAAAACTAAACTGATTTTAATTTTTAAGTTATAAAAAAATTAAAATTATACCCATTTGGACAAACTTTTAATTTCAATAATTAAATTACAACTTAAAGAAATGATTTTGCATTTTTGGATTTTACAAAATTAAAACCAGATTTTTACCAAATTTATTAAAATCATGGTTAATTACCGTAATTTAACTTGTTCTTTGTGAAAATATTGCATTAGGTCGCCATGACAATACAATAAATCTTGTACATTTAAATTTATATGTAAAGGATTAACGTCAATGTGAAGTATTAGTTAAGTATTTACCCAATATAAATAAATCAGTTGATGGTGCTACTTTAAGACATTTTTTATCTAACACATTTGGTTACTGCAAACAGGTTTAAATGATGTAAACTGTTTTATACTCTAAAAGTTTCATCCAGATTTTCAGTTTTTGATTTTTGATTTTAAATCTTTTACAATACTAGGTGCTCTAAAATAAAAAAGCTAGTTCAGCAGTGCAACTAGGACTCCAAGACAATGATGTCATAGGCTCGTATTCTGTATTTAAAAATTTAAAACTTATCATTAGAATCATTCTTGTACTGTACCTATGCTTTGGTACGTTTGTTAATACGTAGGTATGTACGTATGTAATAGTACGTACGTGGTTTTGAGGACGGAAAGATGTGAGGCCAGCACTTTAAAAAACACTCATATTTTAAATATATTTAACAGTTTTAAGGTAAAAGGAAGTTTAATGTCTCAACTTATTTTAATTTGTCCTAAAAATAATTTATAATAACCTGATTTATAAGAAGACAGCCAATATAAGGTTAAAAAATTGTCTAACCGTTTGTTGAAAAATTTACTGTTACAAAAAGGATATGTAGCATAACCCATACGTACAAATAAATAAAGGCCAATTTTACTTTCTTGATTCATAAGTTAAAATCCAAGACAAAGTAGTCCAAAGAAAATGTTCTTGTGTCACAAATCTTGATGAAGTAGCACTATTTTTTACTTTGAAGAGCTAAAAAAAAACATTTTACTTCATCGCAACCTGTTTGATAAACTTAAAAAAGACAATTCATAGTATTAACTCAGGGTGCCATTCAACAATTATTTGTTTTGTTATGTTTTCATAACTCTTAAAGTTTGATTTTAATGTGTTGGTAGAAACAAAATATTTAACATTCCATTTTTTTATTTGTTCTGATTAACAGTTTATGTATTTTATAAACACTTATTACAATGCTCAATTATTGTTAAGCAGAATTCCGTTGTCATTTTATAGGTTAAGCCTTGTTTCTTGTTGATTTGTTTTGTCTTTGTTAATCTGTTTACATTTTTTCTCTTTAAATCGACTGTAAATAGTTGGAAATCATTTGTTACACGTGATTCTCCCAAAAGTATGGAACATAACAAAAATCTTTATCAAGGGTTTTCCTAAAAAGTTCCAGTTCTTAAAATTTGTATTTGATACAACAAATATCTAGAATCTTTTAAATTCATCAGTTGGGTCATTACAAATTTCCAAATGTTAAAACTCCTTAAAAAGCTCAGTAACAAATTCTTGTTTATATATTTTAAAACACACACAACTCAACAAATGTACTACTGTACTCCTGCAACTGAATGATTATTGTTTTGTTCTTAAAGACTGTAGTAGGAACTGTAGTCATCTCCTAATAGAAATGATTTTTCTAAAGCCAATATGAGTTAATCCCATATTCAAATAATTCAATCTCCTAAACATATAAATTTTGTTACCGTTCGTATAAATATAACAACATAAGCCAGCTGATGTTACCCAACTAGTTAAACAAACTTTCTACTTAGCGTACAATTTTTTTTTTATCATTGTTATGGTTTAAAAGTATTATTTATTTCCAGAGCTATGGTTTAATTATGTATTTCTAATCTCTAGCCGAACAATACTATTTACCCACTCACTGGATTCCGTTAACTTTAACTTGGCATTCTCTCCTGACTAATTGTACACTTTCAAAACTGGAGATTATGTTGATTTTAAGTTAATCTAAATACTAACTTATTACTAAAACTACTGCGGGTTTGAAAAAGGCTTCAGGGAGGTCACAAGTTAGAAAAGATTATTTAATGGTAACACAATTTTGAAGATATCTGCATAGTTTTATACGAACAATGTAAATAGATAACAAATTCCATGTCTACATCAGTAAATAAAATACAGTTACAGTAATTGTTTGGTTATTACCTTGTGTGTCTGTTTCAGTGGCAAGAATTCAATTTCAAACCAAATCCAATGCTTATTAAACTTTGGAAGTAAAATTTTCAAATTTAATAATACAAGTATGATGTCAAATATCTAAAAGAAAAGTAAGATAAAACATCAACCTATGTAGGCTTCAGTGTTCTTAGAATCAGTTTTCACACTCAACTTTGTCCCTAGTTTGGTTTCGAGTTTTGTGCTCAGTTTTGTTCCAAGTTTTTCACTCTGTTTTGTATCGAGTTTTGTTCCAAGTTTTTCACTCTGTTTTGTTTCAAGTTTTGTTCCAAGTTTTTCACTTGGTTTTGTATCGAGTTTTGTGCTCAGTTTTGTATTGAGTTTTGTGTCAAGTTTAGTACTTAATCTCGTTGATGGTCTACTTCCTCTGGAAAGTCTACTTTGTCCTGTAACTGTACTTATCTTTGGATCTTCATTCTCTTCTTCTGAAGAATCATCCAGCAGATTTACTGGATGACTTGGAATCTTTACCTAAAAAAATATTGCTATTGTTTTTTTTTTACAGACAAAATTAAATTTACTCTTTTAAAATATCAAAATGTAGTACTGTATGTCGTTAAGTTGTGCGTAGTCCCTGGCCACATGGAATGTAATGCGGGATACTTTCAAACTTGTATTCAGATCCAATGACTGGGTCATAGCTGAGTTAACTTGTTGTTGTTGGTTGTGACCCGGTTTGGAGGCTTCTTTAAGCAGTAGGTCGACTTATAGGGTAAAAAAAGTTAGTCAAATGGACTGTTTCTGTATCAGAAACCACCCTTCGTATGAAGCCAAATTAAGTTTTTTTTATTTCTCACTAAACACTTAGTGCAGTCATAGTACACAAGAAGTTAATTTTTTCAATTCAGATTAGGAAAAAAGTTAATTTAGTGATTTCAGGAAAAAAATGGTTACCTAACATTAAACATGAGCTATACTCTAGTTGCTCAGCGAGTGCAATCAAAATTCTTGTTTCATCAACAGTACTTATAGCGAAGGTAATATGAAGGAAATTGATATTCAAATTTATGTGAGCCATCAATGGTTCACCCTTGAGTCTGCCTGTGTGTGTGTTTGTGAGAGTAGGGCCAACAACACTGAGTAATCAAAGTATAGGTGTTGTTTGTTTAAAGAGGTTTCTGGCCTATTTTAACCTTGTATTTGCCCATCTACATAGGCTATGGACCTGTGCGTGGAATGTATCGAGCAATGCAAGGGGTGAGCCGGTACATTACAAGGGTGAACTGTACTGATTGAAGGTAGTGGCAGTGACCAGAATCCGAATCCACATCGCTGCCTTCAGCCCGAACTATGCTACCGACTGAGCCAACGACTCACCACTGCAAGTAGTTGTCTTGTAGTTTACTACTACAGTAGATGTTATTCTAATTCTTTGTCTTGAATATGAGACGTGAATTTGACACAAGTTGTAAACAGGTTACACCTGACTTTGAACATGTAATATCATAAAACAATAATTATAGTAACAAAAGAAAATTATAATATAAGAGGTAAAAACCTGAGTCATGAAAGGTATGTCGAGATTGCGAAGGCCTTGGCCTACGTAGATGAAGCCATGGTCTGGACCATTCAGGTAGTGGAAGAACATCAACCCCGGCCAGTGCAGGCTACGCAGGATGATAGATCTATCACCCTCTACCAACTGGGCGGACCAGCAGTCTAAACACAACAATTACCTTAAAAAAACCACTGATTTATTTTTTTTTTCCTAAAGGAAAACATTAACACTAGTGATTTTACAGTTGAAAGATAAATTTTCTTTCTTATCTCTCTCTCTCTATTTACCAAGCTACTATCATGACTACAACAATCAAACTATCACTGGCTTTATATCCGAGTAAGTAGCATTTAGATCATTTGAAATAGGACCCAGTTGTCCTTCACTGGGCTTTTAATAAATGGTCCTACCTTAATGTAGATAAAACACTCAAAGAATGACAAAGTGGTCAGTGAAATTTCTCTTCACACTACTCAACAAACCAAACAGCATATAAAATGTACTGCTTAACATTACATCACAGTAGAACATTGAATACAAAAGCTAAATACTACTTTGAAAGCTTCATCAATTCAGTTTATCTGTAAAAACTAACTTGTAAAAACAGGACCCATCTTTTATTTTTTGCTACAGTATACTGGTAGTCTTTAAAAAATCCTGCCTAAAGAAAACAGGAAGATAACCAAGTCAACAAAGTTATCATTCTTAAAATTCCAAAATACACAAGGCATCTCACTCCCCTCCAGTTCTTGGGTAAAAATAAATAGTTATTTGTGCAACTAGTGAGAAAAGTGAGCAATTGACTCACTCGAGAGAAATCCTTACTCACGAGCCGTAGGCGAGTGAGGAATGGTTTCTCGAGTGAGGCAATTGTACTTTGAACTCGAGTTGCACATTATACTTTTCCTACAGTTACCATAAAACAAATAAATTGGTGGAGAAACATAACCTATTTTTACACAGAAGTGAACTTTTAACATAACATTTAATGCGAAGTGACAAATACAACAGTACAACAGCTGACCAGCTGATTTACAGCCAGTGCTGCCAACGTATTTCGCGCGCATACGACGTTGACTGCATGTTACGCGCTCACTATTTCGTGCCTTCACGATGCAAATCTGGAGTGAGACAAAGTAATTAGAGTGAGACAATGTTAACATTGTCTCACTGATGAGCGAATTGGCCACTTTGCTTTCTCAAAAAAAAAAAAAAAAAAAAAAAATCTGTGAGAGAACATGTACATTGTTAGGTAACTGTAGGAAAAATAAATTTTAATTCCACTATGGATTATCAATATGGTATAACACACCTGCTGGCAAATCTTTGTCAATAGTATCGAGGAAATCGAGTGCATAGTTGTAATCACATCTTATCATCAGATTTGTATTGTAATCGTGCCGAGGAGCTCGATAGTGTTGAAAACTGCACATGGAGTCAGCGTCTTCAAGTTTTATCCCCTCAAAAGCCCTACTGTGGACACAGGTTCCGTCTGTTTGCTTAAACAGTCCTCCCCTCGGAACAATAGCAGCCTCGTCTGAGATCAATTGGACTGTTGCTGCTAATCGATCCTCCTCTTTCAGTTCGCTGCTGGTTGTTGTGGTCTAAACAGGCAAAACACAAAAGAAAAGTATTATCATATGACATCATTATTACTATTGTGAGATGGGTGAAACTAAAGGCACTTTTTAACTGACTAGTGACTGTTGACTGTATGGTTCCAGTTCGCACCGGAAAACGCTGCATGCAGCGAACCAGGCGCGTGAACGATTCGTGTTGGTGTGCGTCCTCTCATATCCAACCGTTGTTTTACAGTCCCTCACAGGAACTTCCTAGAACTAAATTTGCGTCACTTCCACTTCCCGGTATGCACTGCCCTTTAATACAGTAGACTCCCTCTTATCGGGACACCTTTTAACCAGACTATATCGGCAAGAAGTGTTCGGTACTAAAACAACTGTTCTCGTGAGAAAGATTTGAAACCAGTGATCATGTGTCTAAATACAATGCTCTCCAATACTGTATACAGTATGCATTTAAACTGTCCATTTTAATGAGTTGGTTAGTTGGTTTAACCGGAAAACCCGTTATCCGGACTGGCCTCGGTCCCGAAGAGTCCGGATAAGAGGGAGTCTACTGTATATGTTTTAAAATAGTGACACAGCATAGTTTTTGTTTCTGAGCCAGAGTCTTTTAAGAGAAAGCTGTGTAAATCCAATCAATTTTGTTAGAACAAGCTGATGATTGAACCCCTGTGACTCTTGCACATAAGTTTACGACATTAGACTTTAAGTACCGTACTAGGGTATACCAACACATTCTATCAATTATTTTTGGGTTAGTATGAGAAACATCCCCTACAAAATTGTGTATGGTACCTTGTGCATTAATTAGGTCTACCTTTGTTTTGATGTTTTCTAAAATGGTTTGATTTTTCAACATATTATCATAAAAATATTTGTTTCAAGTTCAAGTGTATATTCAGTGGTAGTTGACTTGGCTGCTAAACAAATCATAATTTTAACTAATAAGCACCATTAATCTAAAGTTTAAGTGCTTTGAGGAAGAAGGGAAGATTCTTTGGGGAAGATTATTTATAAAACCTTACCTAGTTTAAGAATTACCTACCCTAGCAAAGACAGGAGGACAATAAATCTAGTTAAAAAATATGTAAATACCTTGGACCTACAAAAACAAGCTTGACTTTTAAATATATTTCAAATACCTCTTTACTCTTCCTCAAACTTTGTTCGCCAGACAATGTAGATAATTTTCTTTCATTCTCTGTCACAAAGCTTTGGTTTGTTTCGATCTCCGTTTCACCATCACCACCTCCCATTTCCGCAGAAACTGATGCATCTTGATCTGGGATATCCTCCGAGGAATCATCAACAACCTCCACAACAAGTCCAGGATCTCCCTGGAATGGTCTTTTGCAGAGCTCTGTGAGAACTAAATGTTCTCTTTGAGGAACTGGAAGAAGCTTCCAGTTCAGGCAATCATCACTGTGCAAATATAATTTGTATGATGAAAGATTTTCTTGCACATTCTAACCAAGAAAAGTTAAATTAATTTGAAGTAAAGTAAATATCTATAATAATTATTGGTTTTTCTTTTCCTAGTTGGTTTGGCTCTTCTACCCTTACCTTTGGTCTTAAATTAAAGGTATCAAGCATTGGCATTCATTTATCTGACGTAAATATTTTAAATTATGCACAAAAGCAACTCCCTCCCTGTACAATTGTTTTGGGAGTTAATTTTGTTTTTCTTTTCCGAGTTTGTTTGGCTCTTCTACCTGACCAATTTTTATAATTTTTGTCTTAAAATAAAGCTATGTACCGGTAAGCACAGATTCACCTTTAAACATCATCATTAATTACTGCATTACTGAAAGAAACTAGATTAATTAGTCTCAGATTTAAAATTTGAAAGTAAAGTGTTTAATGCCGGTTTTACACTGTAAAAATTAACATTGGGTGGATAAATTACGAGGGTTGTCTATGAATTAACTTTGATTGAGCTACCGAGATGAACATCTCAGTTTTATTTAGCATTTATATAAGTAATTTTTTTGTTATAGGTAATCAAAACTTACCTGTAAAAATACTTTCTCCCTACTAAAGCATCTTTTTCATAGCCAAAAGAAATGTAATAATCTGCTTCTAAACCTTGAAGGACTCCCCAAAACAATATTTTCTTGAAATGATTGTCACTTTGCAGCAGTAACAATGAATTAGTCAAAACAACATAATTTTCCAAACTAAGCGTAAAAGAGGAGTATTTCACCCAGTGTTTCAAACAGTATAGTCTTTGCACATCCATGATTTCTTTTGCGCAGAATCGGGCTCTAAAAATAAGAAATCATGTTATTATTTGCTTCTAATGTTGATAAACATTCTTTTCAAAATAGCAAATTTCTTTTAACATCAACTTGTAATCAGCTGTTTTATTTTTCTTAATAATTTTATACGCAATACATATTAAGCAAAATTTAAAGGCTTATAGCTTTATAACCAGTAAATGGGCAAGAAAGGGTAAATTAGAATAAGTTGGTGGTGTTTGTAAAATTAAGTTTTAGCGAATTTCCATATTAACATTAGGAGAATAATTAAGCTATTACCCAAAGTCTCATTGTAAGACCTAGATCAGGGGGGCCTATTTATGAAATGGTTGACTGTTCAGTCAATCACTTTCCAATCGTTTCGTATTTTTCAAACGATTATCAGTTGACTTATCCAACCAAAACTACTCACCACAAACACCACCGATTTTCCGATTGAGCTGTTGAGTGGACGGTGACTGCACTTTCTTCTTCCTCTCTCGGAAAAATTTGCTATTTTTTAAGTCAACGCCATATTGTTATGGTGTTGTATGGCAAGCGTCGAGTGGGGCGAGCGCCGCGGCTTAATAAGTAGTGTGAGCACCGAGGCCATAAATCTGGTCTGTTCAATGAAGCAGAAGTGATGAGGAGTGTTGTATATCGTTGGGGTTAACATAAGCCTCTGTGGTTGGCAGGGCTTATCCCAACTCCGCACGGTGGTCACTATTCGGGTCCCTCGCAGGCCAAGTACAAGTTCGGAGAGCCAGCCGTTAGGTTTGGTTGGATTAGGTTTGGTTAGGTTAGGTTTAGTTAGGTTAGGCTAGGTTAATGGCTAACTTTTATGCTAATATTATTAGGTAAAAAGAACGCTCCTAAAACACTAAGTTTGAAAACAGGTTTCAAAGGCTCGCATAAATGGACGCAGATGCATGGATAATTTGCAAGTATAAGGGTACACTTACTTAGTTTATCCGGTTCGCTGTCAAAACTGTCACAACATATAGTCAGGTAGTCCTAGCGGCGCTCGGCCCACACCACGCTCACCCCATGTAACCATTGTTATTGCTTTGTTTACTATTAGAGATTAGAGGTTAGATATTTTGTTGTCAATAATTGTTATAGTGCCCAATATTTTTTTCTATTGTTTTCTGTAAAATAACCCTAACAGCACAGGGATATCTATAGAATATCTTATAAACATTTCACTTGGATACTTAATACATCTATCAATATCCAAATCCAGATATTTATATTTGTTAGATATTGTGAAGAAGTTAAAATGTTACTAATTTTAACTTTCAACAGATATTAGATTTACAATTAATAATTAAGAACTTCTAAAGTTGAATTGTACGGAAATCTGCTGACAGATCACTAAAAAATATATAATAAATACATAAAAACACAAAATAATTAAGGAACGCGGCAGCGTTCTGCCCCGCCAAGTCCCCCAGCAGTACACAGCTGCTGCAGTGTATATATACATGACGTGACAAAGTGGCTTTTTTACTCGTCTATAGCTCTGAAGAAACAAAAGCTATTAAAATAATTATTCATCTACTGGATAGGGGCACTCATTCTCAACAAAATAAAAAAAAGAATTTAAAAACGGTTGTGTTTGAGCCAAGAAAAACTAGTTTTAAAATTCACAAATTTTCCGTGTTCTCCTTCTCCTTCTCCTTCTCCTTGAATGTAACGGACCTACAGCCCAAACCACTGGCTCAATTTTAATGTTTTTAATGTTGTTTGAAAGCCCTTAACGTGTAGATGTGCCTTTTGAGGGTCTCAAGTCGGTGCGTTGACCCATAAACCCTTGGCAAGCCCTCAAAGTACGATTTTGGCCCATTTAAATAACATGGGATTAAAATCAAAACAAAAGAAGGACCAGCTGCGATTAAATCTCAATTAATTTAAATGTTAGAGAAATTCATAGGAACAGCTGAAAAATTATTTTAAAACTTTTACAAAGTATTTTTTTCAGGTATACCGAATGATATGAACTAACTTGCTATATAAAATTACTTAGAGCAGTGATATTCCGCGATACTTTCCATTGAAAAATGCAGTGTACCGATGGTACACTGGTACAGCAGCTTGTCATTTTTAACAGTTTAATACTACTTATCGAAACATATGAAACCTAGGAACTTGAAACCATAGATAAAACATACTCTTGAAACTTAGTACTAGTACTAAGGTTTGTTTTATGTTTTGATACACTAAAACAAATAAAACATTCAGGAAAATCACTCTACGTATGTTAAACAAGCAATTAAAAAGTGATATGTAAATTTAGGATAAATGAGTTTTTCAATATTTGTTTTGCCTTATATGCTATTTCTAACAAACCTAATCTGTTTGGTTACATTTTTACTTCCCTAATAAGGGCTCAATTTACACTAGTCTTTAGATATACAGGTTTAATTATCAGAACACTTATGTAACACCAACACATTTTATGTTGTTCAAGATGACCATTGATGAAATTTGAAACTGAGTTTAAGCCCAGGGGGTTTGTTAAATAGTAATTTTGGTACGTGTGTCAAAAAGTTTTTAATCGGTTTAAAGCAGATAAGACCAAAAATGTAGAATTTAGTTCTACACAAACAATATTATTGAAATTAAATGAGATGTAGTTGTGCTGTGGTCTATATATCAGAGAAAAGAGGATTTTTATTTTAACTGTTAATTTTCTACAAAAATAAATAAAATCTAACAAAAAACCACTAAGTGGTAACACTTTCCCCGCCAATTCAGCAATCCAAAAAAGATAATAAATCATTACTTATCTGCCAAGAAAAACAATGTAATGTATGTAAGTTTGGCAACTTGGCGGCAGACTTTTGCTCGATCACTTTAAAAAATACCATAAAACTAGTTTCATTGAGCAAGTATCTCTTGTTAGAATCTATTCTATATATAATTCAGTTTTAAAAATCTTTGTACAAATATATAATTCAGTTTTAAAAATCTTTGTACAACTAAATCTAGAGTTCTACTGTTCCGATTTTATTAATTAATGGGTCGTTGAAAAGCTTAGGTCGTGTAGATTTGCAAATAATTATGAAAGTTTTTTTTTATTATGATTTATGGTGAAAAATTTCAAAAAAACATGTTTTCAATAAGAAATACATTGAAAACGGTGTTTTTCACACTTTTTATTTGGGTGCGACTTTTAGCTGCCTTTTTTAGTGTTTCCAAGAAGTGTATGGTATCAATTTGTAGGAAGTTTTATTCCCTTTCAGAATATCACCTTCCACTTTGGTCGATTTCCTCACCATTTAAAAGTTATTTGCAAAAAAGCTAAGCAACCTCCGAATTTATAATAATGAGAAAATATTGAGTTTGGGATATTTTTGTTAAACTTTGTACAACTAAATCTAGACTTCTACCGGACCGATTTTGTTAATTAATGAGTCATTGGAAAGCCTTACTCATGTAGATTTGCAAATAATTATGAAAGTTTGATTTTATTTAATTTTTGTGGCGGAAAAATAAAAATAACAAAAATACATTCAAAACTGTTTTTTTTCAGGTTTTTATTTTAAAGTTTATATTTGTAGTCAGCTTTTAGCTGCCTTTATTAAATAATTTCAAGAAATACACAGAGGGTATTTGTAGGAAATTTTATCTTCTTTCAGAATATCACGTGCATTTTCTACGATTTACTCACCATTTAAAAGTTATTGTCAAATTAGATAAGTGACCTCCAAATTTTTAGTTGTTAAAAATACTGAATTAGGGATATTTTTGTTAAACTTTGTACAACTAAATCTAGACTTCTACTGGACCGATTTTGTTAACTAATGTATCGTTGGAAAGCCTAATTTGTGTAGATTTGCAAATAATTATGAAAGTTTGATTTTATTAATTATTTTTGGTGAAAAAATAATAAAAAGCAAAAATACATTAAAACTATTTTTTTTATAGTTTATATTTTAAAATTTCTATTTGTAGTTAACTTTAGGTTGCCTTTTTTGAATATTTTCAAAAAACGTCTAAGAGTACTTTGTAGCAAATTTTATTCTCTTTCAGAATATCACCTTCCACTTTGGTTGATTTCCTCACCGTTTAAGAGTTATTTGCAAAAAAGCTTAGCAACCTCCTAATTTATTGTGGTGAGAAAATATTGAATTGGAGAGATTTTTGTTAACTTTCTACAACTAAATCTACAGTTCTACTGGACCGATTTTATTAATTAATAGGTCAATAAAATCTGTGTAGATTTCCAAATAATTAGTAAAGTTTGAGTTTTATTTATTTATGGTAGTAATACGTTTGCCGGTATGAATAATCTAAAAAAATTTATGGTAGTAATAATGGGTTAGCCAGTATGCATCATCTGATCATATGGAACACAACCTATAGTTTAACGGCTGATTTTTTTATTGTTATTTCCTTGATTTTTCTTTGTTTACATTTAGTTGTTTACTATTTGAATTGGTGGTTAAAGTGAGGTCCGTAAAGTGTGTGTTTCTAAAGTAATGTTTTTAATCTGTACCATTTAAGTATTGGTGAGTTAAGTGATGTATGGATTTCATAACCAAAAATTATTATTTTAAACTGTCAATTATAAATTATTAAAATTTAATTTATAATTCACAGTTTAAAATAGTATTTAATATTCGTTATTTTGAACTGTTCGTTATAGACTCAATATTTTACATTAGTTGAAAAATGAATAACTTTACTCTTCACTACATGGTTGGTGATAGAAAATGTTTCTTTAGAAGTGTCTCATTTTTATGCCATAAATCTCAATCCAGATACAGTGATATACGATCCACAGTAGTTGATGAAGTCGTCAACTGGGACTACTATTGTTCTTTTATTTTAGGGGATAAGACATATAGACAAGAAGTAAAAAACGTGACGGAATACAGAAATTTGATGACCAAAGATGGGGAATACGCCGGTAATGTCGAAATCGAAGCTGCAGCAAGAGTTTTTGACTGCCAATTCAAAATATATGCTGAGAAATTGGATTATTTTGTAACGGTTGGTGAAGGCACAACGATCTTAGAACATCAGTTTATTTTCTAAACAATTTCATTCTTTAAAAAATGTTCAGGTACTTACAAGGACATATATTATGTACTACTGTACTTTCTAGGGACCGTTGTATTTAACTACAACGGGCTCTGTTGCTAGTTTATTTATAATCTTGTTCCTTATTGCCTTCTTGGTACTAAGTTAGAAGCAGCTGTCATGTGTTAATTATATGCCATGTGTTTGCTATGTTTATTAATTTGTTGTAAATAAACTTCTCTTCCATGGACTTTAGAAACCATACTGTGTAGTCCTTTTACTCCTAATTATTATAAAGGAAAATCAATTATAAACAAGTTCTCTCCCATTAGTACATTGCTAGGTGAGAGCTTATTCTACGAAATTTGACCTTATTTGTGCCAAATTTCATAAAATCATAATAGTGATGGTTTTATATTTACTGATTACCTCAAAATTATTATACTTAGTTGAGCTAATTAATTAGAGAAGTTGATTTGTGAAATTATCCACGAACGTTAACTTTAATGAAAAAAAAACAATCAAAAGTCTGCCGCCAAGTTGCCAAACTTCTTGGCGGAAAAAGTAATGATTTATTATCATTTTTGGATTGCTGACTTGGCGGGGAAAGTGTTACCACTTAGTGGTTTTTTGTTCGATAAATATTTAGTCTGAAAAGCACATTTATCAGTTGAGTATTTTGATTAAATAGTTCATAAAAACAAATTTTGAAAAAAAGAACTAGAAAAAATTGGTTTACCCAGATGGGTCTCGAACCAGATACTTTCAACTTAAGACTTGGAATGCACAACACTAATTTCTCAACCATCCCTCTGCAAAATAATACCTGAAACATACAAGGTGATTTATTAAAGCATTTCATTAAGGTAAGAAAATACAAACTTTTATTTCTTTGAGTAACTTTTATTTCTTTCTATGAAGTAGTATGACCGCTGTATTGTGGTACTGGATCCACAGTGCCGGTAATCCTACAAAATCTGTTTAACGATTCCATGTCTGCCTCAAACAGAACATCTGAAATTAATTTTTGAGCAAATTTCAGTTGATGAGGTTTGAGGTTGCGCAGTCTGTCGGCTACATGTTTGCCGAAAATGTCATGTGGGTCACTTTCTTTCACTGAATTAAGTTTATCTCCAACCCTTTTCATTGTTTCTAGCATCGCAGTCTCAACCACATGTAGTTTCCTTTTATTAGGTAGACTCAACGATGTGCTTGGTATTGATGGAGTCACACACTGTGTGGTACCTGTTAGATGGGTTTCAGACCTCTCACTAACATTCAGACTCGCCTGATCTTCAAGTTCATCGTTCTGCGAAAACAAACAAAAACACTGTAACCAATATGTACACAAATCATCATAGGAATGAACCCAATAAGGTTATTATTTCTTATCTTTATGAACACGTCAGTATATATATGCCGATGATACGGCGGTGGCGGCACAAGGTAGGAGTTTTGAAGAGGTGGAACAGAAGCTGACTATGACTCTTAATGAACTTTCCCAGTACTATGAAGCAAATCACCTCAAGCCGAAAACTGCTAAGACCCAAAAGTTTGTGCCTTTCACCTAAACAATAGGGAAGCAGGCCGTGAGTTGAATGTGAGGTGGCAGGGAGACCGTCTTCAGCATTGTTCTACACCCAAATATCTTGGTGTCATACTGGACCGCACACTGACATTTAAGGCGCATTGTATTGCGACAAGAGGTAAAGTCTCAGCGAGGAATAATATCATCAGGAAGCTAACCATCAGATGCTGGGGTGCTATCCCTAATGTCCTCAGAACCTCAGCTTTAGCGCTCAGTGTGTTGGCTGTGGAGTACGGAACCAGTATGGAATGCATCGTCACATGCAATAAAGTTTGACATTGCAGTCAATGACATGGCTCGGATTGTAACTGGGTGTTTGAAACCAACCCCAGTATACAAACTCTATCCTAACATAGGGATTGCACCTCCATCAATCCGACGTGATGTCGCTGCCGACGCAGAAAGGACTAAGTAAGAGACAGACCCTCGTCACCCATTACACGGCCACCAACCTGCAGAGGGACGGCTTCGGTCCAGAACAAGTTTTTTATCACGGACACGAGTCCTGGTTGGATCACTCTCAAGCAATCTGGTGGCAAGGTGGGAGGCCACGTTGACTAACCCTCCCAAACCAGCCAGGGAGGAACTGGCTCCTGGTGGAGGCCTGCATTACACGGTGTGGAAGACCCTAAATGGAATCAGGGTCGAGGTACCAAAATGCAAGACAAACATGCAGAAATGTGGTCTCTTACCAGACGAAGAAAACATCTTGTGTGCGTGTGGTTCTGTTCAGGATCTGTCCATCTGCTGATCCATCTGCTGATCTGTCCACGCCTAGACCAGTCTTGCACATTAAATGATATTTTACAAGCGAATGACAAAGCCATATCGGTAGCTAATTTTTGGAAAAGCGAAGTCTGATTTCCGGACACAGAAAGTAAGTAAGTATCTTTATGAAATTTTAAATTAGGAGACCATGTAATCCTTGTAACATCGAAATGGTGTACTTTTACAAAGATTTGCTTACCCTATAATTTGTTTGACATCATTATAATAGGTATTTGTTTATTCCAGTTACCAACTACTACAGCTGAATGGATAGAAATACTGTAGCTTCCGACTTCGAAGACATGTGGCAGTTTCCTCATCGCTTTGGTTCGTTTGATGGAAAGCATTTAAGGATTGTTCCTCCAGCCAGTATGTGGTTCCTATTACTTCAACTACAAGAAAACTCATAGCATCGTCATAGATAAAACATACTCCCTTAGTAGATTTCTCATCCTTATGGAACAGCTGAAGACAATATTATTGTTAGTTCATGTACGGTTTATGTAGAGGTCGTGTTTTGTTTACAATTTGTTTCCCGTTATTACAGCCCTTTTAAAACCTCATTTAAACAAATAATACGGTCTAATCATAAACAATAACTTGTCCCCTAGTTATATAACCAAACAGTAAAGCACAAATCAAGAAATTAACCCTAAAATAATGGAAGCAAAGTTTCATCGACACTGGCGCCTTTGTGCCACGTACATGAACTAGACACGAAAAACGTGCTTCAAAATTTACAATGGGATGAGAAGTCTACTTGTGTTGGTTAGTCTATGGCATCGTCCTCGTGACTATAGCTAACGCAAATTACGAGTTCATCTATTGTGATGGAGGAGTGATTAATAATTCAATTTTTACCAAAAAACTTGTTGAAAAAAAAACTGAACATTCCAGAATCTGAACCAATAACCAATTTGACTCGTACACTAAACTATGTTTTGTAGGTGATGAGGCATTTGCAATGCGTCCAGATTTATTAAAACCGCGTACACTAGGGGGTCACTTACAGATGAAAGAAGAATATATACAATTATCGCTTATCCTGAGCACACTGAATTATTGAGAACACATTTGGAATTTTGGCATCTCGGTTTCGAGTACCACATAGGCTACTGCAATTAATATGGATGTTGAAAACATTGAATGCGTCATTTCTAGGCTGTGCTTTATATAATCTTTTGCGCAAAAGGTCACTTAACTACCTACTCGCCTCCTGAGGCTTATTTGATCGTGAAAATATTGAGGACAGCACCATAATGAAAGGCGAAAGATGTAATCCAGATAAGTTGCACCACACAACGACATTCGGGAGGAACAATTTTGAAATCAGCCAAAATAGTTCAAAACAATTTCAGTGATTATTTCAACAATGAGGGATCAGTGCCTTGGCAGGATAAATTAGCATAGAACTTGTAATGGTTTTGCAACAGTCAACCCTTTTAGTGCAGTAAAAAGAAATGTATGTATTGCAATATTAATTTTGTAGTACCGATGCTTGCCACGAGTTACGATAACGCTACCGAAGCTTTTATTTTAAAAAACCGATAGGCCTAATTCTTATACCTTATTAGTGCACCCTCGAAAGATTAAAATTTTTTTATAAATCTGGGAAACAACTCCCTGATTCTGAAAATAATAGTTTTATTCCGCGCAAAACGTCCAAATGCCACAGTTATTTTTCCATTTTCCGATGATTTTCCAGTTGTAAGTTATCTCCGTTAATATTCATCGGAACTTAAAACTTCTTGCAAATTCTTGTTCCGGCTTGCTCTACCGGTTAAGTTATTTCAGTACCCACATGGCCTATTTCCGCAAAAATGTAGTTTTTTTTTGTTTTTCAGATTTTTTTGGTATTTCCAACATTTTGCTCCGAAATAAATAACATTTTCAGTATCAGGGCGTTACTTATTTAATTCCTACATTTTGAAAAAAGAAAATTCCATTTTCCGAGGGTACGCTGATAAGGTAAGAATTAGGCTACCAAAAATTCAAATACAATTGATTTATCAACTTATAATTTTGTTAATCTTAATAATTTCCATTTTATAAATTATAAATAAGTATTGTTAATAATTTTGTTTTTAAATTAATAAATAGGCCTAAGTTATAAACCAATACAATTCAAATACAATTTATTTATAAACTTGTAATTTTTTTCAATATTAATAATTTAATTTTTTTTTTAAATTAATAAGTAAGATATAAATCCCCCAAAAAAGAAACACATTTCTTTTACTTTGTACTGCAAAACATCCTTTAAAAAAATGCTTGGCCTAAAACTCTAACTTAAAGGGTTGAACGTGGTAGCAACATTTTGTTTTTGCATTACAGTAGGCCAATTAATTATCCATATTCTTATGATAATTATAAAATATTTTGGATTTTAATGTTATAACTTATATTTGGGTAGACTTCCGTATCTGTTGTCAAAAACAACAGAATGAAAAATATCGATCTATCGATTATTTCGTTCGATGGTAGGCTATCGTTTGGATTTAACTCACCTGCACCTCAATCATAGTTTCTTCATCAGATTCATCGATTGTGCTTGTGGACTTCCTTGATGGTTCAATATAATTCAAAAAATGAAGAAGTTCAAAATACCATAATTTAGGTTTGTATACTTCATTAGCACCTGCTCCAGATTTGAGGGATCTGTTAATTTTCCCCACTTCCTTTTTGTACACTGTTCTAAACGAGTTAATTTTTTTTACAACAATTGCCCTGTCTGCAGCAGGGTCGACTTCTCTATATTTGTTGATCAATTCTACATAGGCCAGGTCTTTCTTGTTCCTGTCAGAATAGTCTTTATGTTTGATTTGCCATAAACAAGGGAAACTCTTGTATAGTTCAATGAATTCTATGAAAAAGTCACGAGAGGCTTGGCGTATGTCTGACATAGTGACAAATAAATGTTTTAACTGACACACAACACAAAACGAAAACAGTTAAGCTAAACCTCCTCTACACAGTCAAAATATACAGCGGTTAAACAACAGTACTACACAGTACAGTACATAGCAATGGACTTATTCGCCGTTACACGCAACGTTTTGTCGCTACGATCTACAAAATTGGTATGGAGACTGGAGACTGGAGATTTCCAATTTCCACCAACCTTCCAACTCCAACCTCACTCCAACTCCAACAAAACGTAACGACGACCGGTTTACACGTTACGTCTTTTTTAGTTAGTAGTATGTTTTCTGTGGTCTTGCATGCAACGTTTTGTCGTTGCAGACAAATCGTTACGTTTTATCGTAGCGTGTAAGCCGGGCTATGAACCTCTTACCTTAGGTACCTCTGAGCTTTCTGTGATTGTTGATACTGTTACTGTACTGCAGTTTTTAAGCGGTTAAAGAATGGCCGACAGCTGCAATGGTCGCAATACTTTAATATTTTTGATCTCCTATCTGGGGATTATAGCTATATCAAAACAAACTCTTCAAAATTCAAGTGATTAAAAAAAATTCTAAGAATAGCGGTGAATGCTCCCTATGGTTTGTTAGAAACAGGCATATACATGAAGAGGGGTGGAGTCTATCTCAGCCTTACAAAAAACCACCTCCAAATTTCTGAAGTCCTTAGACAATGTCCCTGGTGTACAAGCTTTTCATCTTGGCGAAGCAACTGAGAACATGAGGCTACGTCGAAGGCTTCCTCAAGATCTATTGGATGAATGAAACCTAAAGAAGATTAAATATTTGTATCTAAATTCATTATGATACAGGGTGTCTCAGGTCTGGTCGAACCCACGATGTTCATTCTTATTGTTATTTTCTTTTAGCGAATTTCCCATATAGGGAATAAGCTATTACCGTAGGTCTCATGGTAGGACCTAGACCCGGGACCAATTTACTTTTTCGTTTTGAGGTCCCCAGAGACCAAAAACACCATCCGTTCAAATTCATATATATATATTTATATATATATATGTGTCCGTTAGCGCGATAACTCAAGCAAAAATGATCCGATTTTTATGAAATTTGGTACAAATGTGTAAACCTACGTTTATTTGAACGAGTTCGCGAACCAGCATAATCGGACCATGGGAACAGGGGTTTATGGGGGGTTTTATGGGGTAAAAATGGGGTTTTCCCATTTTTTACCCTAAAAACAAAAAAATTTTGCAATTTCTTTCTCAACCATTTTGTAGAGCTTAAAAAAAGAAATAATTTAGTATATTGAAGCGCTGTTGTATGCCTAACGGTCACGGAGAAAATAAAAAAAAGTGTAATTTAAAATTCCCATGTTATTCTTATGGAGAAAATGAAAACTGTTGTAGTTTACTTGTTTATGGATATATATTGATAAAATTTGGCAAATTTATTTATTTCATCCTATACTATTGACATATGGTCAAAAAACACTTTTTAGTAAAAAAAAAAACAGCAAACCTAAGCACTTGTTAAATCAAATCTAATGTTATTTAAATTGGGAATAAATATGTCTTATTTATGGAAATATTTTAGTAAAAATGTAATCAGACAAGTTGAAATTCGCTTAGTCTGCAGGTTTGCTGCGGCGGGGGTATTTTATTTTGTTAACACTTCTGTGAATACTTTTTTACATTTTTTTTTTTATTTTAAAAAAGAGGTTGGCGGCCTCTTTTAACCTTGCATTTGCCCGACCACATAGGTGCCCATTTTATCACCAACACAGTGTTGACATTTTTTCGTAACCATATCGACCAGTCGATTGTCAACCGACCGAACGGATCGTATTCGATAACCAAACCAGTCAACCAGTGATCGACGTCGACGACATCCAACCAACCATCGACCGTTTTCTGCTGATGATGTCCCGCCAAGCATGAGCAAAGCCAAAGCCAATCCTCGCCTCCTTAATTGCTTTATTCCTATCATAAAAAATACTTCTTCGGCTTCTTAGCCTAAGTTATTATTAGCACATCCAAAAATATGACTTAAGCTTCTGAATTGTTATGTGGGTATTCACTTTGCTGTTGGGTTGGGATTGTTCTGTTCAGTTAGTGAGGTCCTACATCTGCCACTGTTGTGTATCGAAATATTTATCTAGCATGCATGCATTTGTGAGTCAAGGCGGACTAATTATTATTTATTTTGTATCGAGAGTGACATAGCCTATTGCATTGCTTAATGGCCAAATAAATAATTGAACCAAGTTAGGCCTAATTAAATAAACACACCGAGATGGTTCATTAGAACGTATAGGATAGGCCTATCGTAAAATGTTTTAACTTCAACACTTTCTAGGAAATAATATATAGCAATAATGATTGGTAATTATCAGTTTTATCAGGCCTGTTCCAGCTAGCGTATGAATTATTGAAATATACAATATTAAACCACCTTTTGGTTGGAAAATGCTTTAATATAATAGGCCATTAAGTTAAGGCTGCTACTATAAAAAAAAGAAAAGTAGCCTAAGCCCTAGTAATGTGATGATACAGGCTCTCACCATCGATGTATAATAACTGTAGAGTTATTATACATCGATGGCTCTCACTTGGTTTATTTTAGCTAGCTTGTGGGTTTGTGTAAAAGAGGACTGATACAACACACTAAAATATTTCCTTCTCTTGAGTTTCGAGTCAAACTACCCCGTCCATGTTTTGTTTTCCTACTTGGGGTTTAATAATAATAAGGTAAAAAGATTCTTAGTTGTCAAATCATTATTTTAAAAGGTTAGTAAATTATTTTGTTAGGTATACCCAAGACGCGTTATTTAAGTAAATATAAGTTAATTGGGATAAAAGGCAGACTAACATTCCGGCGTTAGTATTAAAATAAATATTAATAGTTCATAATTTTTGTTTATTTTCATAAGTCCTTTTTAGTGTGTTTTAATCGATAATCGATAGCGGTAGCAAGTGATGGTCGATATGACTACACGATATTGAACCGATATCTTGTCAACACTGAGGGGGTGATAAAATGGTCACCGTCCACATAGACTAAGCGCCCGTGCGTGGATCGTTAACAGCAAGGCAAGGAGTGAGCCGGTACAGTACAAAGGTGAACTGTACTGATAAAATTTTATCGGTAGTGACCAGGATCCGAACCCACGACATCGCTGCCTTGGGCCCGAAGTCCGCGACGCTACCGACTGAGCCACCGACTCACTAAATGTCATCATTGAACCAGAAATAAATGGTGTAAAAAAATGACTCTACGTTTATGCATCATTATTGTTTTTCTTGGAGTTGGAGAGAATACTGGTATTTGAATATGGATGAATTAATCGCCATTATTAATAAGGTTATTATAATTGTTATAATATGAAATAATTCCCCTTAAATTGTTCAACTAATAAAATTTTCTCAAACAAGTTAGGGAATTTTAAATAAAAAGAAAATATTTGATTTATTATTATTATTTTTATAATTATTATAAGCAGGTGTATTATTATTATTATTATAAAAAGGCTTTTAATCATACATTCAAAGCTATAATGTATAATGTTTTTACGGAACGGCTAAACAGTTTTTTTTGTTTTTTTTACAACTTTAATTTGGATCGGGTGAGACTTGTGTTATCATATATTTATACCTGGTGTTTTTTAATCACAAATTTTATTTACAATCGAATCATTTTTCGAACATTCAGCAAATACAATAACAATTATTAATAAAACGTTATTTAGTCTATATCAATTGGCAGATCTCATCTAACTTAAAAATATTTCAATGAAAAAATAAATAAGTAAATAAACAGGAGAAAATTAAATTGTTCAAACAAAACGTGAGCTTAGGTCCAAGACATGAACCCTTTTCAGCCTGTATATACTGGTACTGTTGTCCAAAAGGTTTAGAGCCAGGTGATTGGAGTGATTTTCAAGCTTCTTTAGATATTTTGCACTAAATTTGGTTATTTCCTCTTCAACCGTTGGAATTCCGAAACGGCACACGGAAGATTTCTCAGGTGCCGTTTGACGTCACTAAATGCTGACGTCACTTTGAGGGAACACCAATACCGCAACGATACGGATATGAGTCATCGGCCTTGGTGGTGTAGTGGATAGCGTTGCGGGCTAATATCCGAATGTCTCGAGTTCGAATCCCGCCGGCGGCAATAATTTTTTATCAACAATTTTTTCATATCAGCAAGTTTGGTTGGTTTGGTTAGGTTATGACAGTTTAATTTTATAATAAAAAAATTATAAAATTGAATTTTAGGCAATTATAATTTTATTTTATGAACAAAACTATTTTTTAGATTAGTAAACCTTTATTCGATTTTTCCATTATCAGCACGTTTGGTTAGTTTGGTTAGGTTATGACAGTTTAATTTAATAATAGAAAATTATAAAACTGTCTGTTTATTCAGACGCAGCAGTTAGTGACGTCAGCAGTTAGTGACGTCAAACGGCACCTGAGAAATCGTCCGTGTGCCCCACCGTTGGAATTCCACTGTCCTTGTGAAGGATATTGTTATTAACATACCACGGGGCTGGGGCTTGCAGGATGAACCTTAAAACTTTTGACTGAAATCGTTGGATGATGTTTATGTTCATGCAGATTTGTTCCCTTCTGACTGAAAGAGTTTGACATTAATAAAACACTCCCTTTGGAAAAGTGTAGTAATTTTTCTCTCATAAACATTACTAATGCATATTTACTGTCCACTTGGGGCTGAATAAAATTATTTGACTTCTTTTTAAAGCGTAGCACGGATAAAAATTGCACAGATTAATATTTACTATGTGTCAATACTAGAGTATCAAAACAAGGGTTGTATCCTTGTTGGGATGCTTGCAATACTTTGAAAATAGTCTAGGCATACTAATTAAACTTATTATATGATATATAATTGTTATTATGATTTATTAAGGATTGTGGTAAAGAGAAACGCCATTATAACAGACTAAAACTCAACTGTAGTAACCCCAGGAACTTTTAAAAAATTACTTTGAATTTCCTGGATTGACCGGGAGAATGGTTTTGCTTCATCTCCAAGAATGCTGTGACAATTATGGTCATCCGCTGTCAATGACAGGGCTACAAATATACATGTTTATGTATATCTGTAGCCCTGGTCAGGTGGTCCATTCACAAATCCGTTGAAACGACCCCTTCTCCCTCATTTCAATTCAAGTTTTGGGATGTCAAAATAATTTGTTCAATTTTCAACCACTATAATATCACAAACCTCTGACTTAAGAAACAGAGTTCAGACTCTGAATTCTGAATAACAAACATAAACGTTACAAACTCATACCGGTAACTGATTATATGAACATACACATACACTGCTGTTTATTCTAAACAATTCCAAAAAGTATAAAAATACAAAATATTCCTCTTTGCCTGTCTTTTTTTAACAATGACCATAATACTAATTCCAAGAAAAATAACCTGAAGAAACTAGTGATGGGCGATACGGACGCGTATCGCGATACAGCGATACGATACGTATCGGAAAAAAATATCGTATCGCCGTATCGAATCGGGCGTCTGTATCGCGATACGCGAATCGTATCGTCAAAAATATCGAAAAACGATACGTATCGTATCGTTTCCCCCCTCCCCTACCTAACCTAGAAACGGCAAATTTATATAAGTACCTGGGGACCAAGCTTTGCTCGAGGAAAATCATTAGTTTACTCTGAAAACAGTCTTAGTATTGCAGATACATATTTCCATTTCCACACTCCACACTGCTCGCCTTTACTACTTCCTTCACAACTCCCTACGTCTTGGACCTGTTTCCCTATCCTTCCCATAGCATTTTAGGATTGCAGATACATTAATGTAATTGCCACAGCCACAGACAGTTCCCACATTCTGCAGTCTGCAGTCTGCACTGCTAGTGCCAGACTGCCAGATAGCCATAGCACGCTAGTGGAGATGGACTGGGATGGGATCACTGAGTTATCAATCTAACTGGAGGTAGCACTGAATGTCAAAGATGCGTGTCGCCAGCCGCCATGTTTGCGTGAGGCGGGTGTCATGTCATAAGAAGCCATGTTATTGCTATGACAAGAAAACTCACTGCTATACCAACCTAGTTATAAGAAGCCATGTTATTGCTATGATAAGAAAACCCACTGCTATACCAACCTAACAAAATCAGCGACACGCTTTTGACAGACTTCTGCCATGGCTGTGCTACCTCCAGTTATAATTTTAGCTCAGTGGATGGGACTGGTACATTATCAAGTAAAAACCAAAAATACAGACATCAAAAACTCCTATTTCAGACTACACATCCACAGAGTACAGATTTTGCAGTTTGCTCGGCCTGCGCAAAAAAGCTTAAAAATATCGTTTTGACATGAATCGTATCGCTCTATGTGCCGATATAAATACAAATATCGTTTTAGGCGATACGATACGTATCGTTTTTCAAATATCGTATCGAAATATCGTATCGTCCCTCGCGTATCGCGATATTCCGATACGATACGATACGTATCGCACATCACTAGAAGAAACGTCTAAAATAGCTTGTCTTCATGTTCATCTTCTTGTCTATGTCTGAGTGTTTTTAGTATTTAGTGTCTAGCCATGAGTTTGATATTGACTGTTCGCGATGTTTTTGTTTTTCGTAAAACAAAGATTGACCTTTAATAATCGCAAATTGCCTTCCATGCAGATTATTTTTAATGTTTACTAATATAAACTTGGGTACAGTAGAAGCTCAAAGACCTTCGCACTTATCGGTGTGTTTTTATTGTTTCTAGCTTATTCATGTGCTAACCTAGCCTTTAGCATGTAAGTGTTTTGCGTTCCCAATAAAACAACGCAATTAGACTAAATAAGAGTTGCTCGAAGTTTTATAAAGGTTGAATGAGTCTCTTAGGGTTATTTGTTTAACTAATCATAATGTTCTTCTCTGTGGCCTTGTTTCCCCATAGGCTAGTGTTGGCAAATTGGTACATTTGAATTACCTACATGTTAGATAATAAAATTGCGTAGCCTAGGCTATGTTTGTATTTTGTTGTGGCGTTTTAAAAGTTGTCTTTCCTAGCCAGACCCATTTTGTTTGGGTTTTTTCTATACCCCTTCTTGAAATAGGTAGTGCTTTTTAGCCCAGACCTAACTTAGCCTAGGCCTATTCTAGCCTAAATATTGAGATGTGTGTAACTTACCTTTTTTGAACCTATGTCCTAAGTGGGCCTGGATGCAAATTTTCATCCAAATGAGGAGTATTACACTTCCATATATCTGTTGGCACAAACAACCGAATGATAATATCGATCGATATAACTTATCGATTATTCGATAAATCGTTAGGTAAAAAAGGTTAACGGGTCAGTCCATGTCAAATCAACACACCTATTTTACCTCACCATCTTAGATTTTGATGAAATTTGGTCTATAGGTTACCTTTATGAAGACTAAAAAAAATACCAAATTTCAGCTCAATATCTCAACCCGTTCCCAAAATACGGCCATTTGAAATTTTCAAAAAACGGTCAAAATCGCGCTGCGGTAAAACTTTAAAATAGTCATAACTCTTCTCCTGTTTAAGCTAGAAACATGGGAGAGGTGTCATTGTTTAGCCCTTTTTATGCCCTTTCTAATGATATACAACACATAATAGGTTATGAAAACAAAAATTTTGTCAAATTCAAAAATAAATTTTCAAAATAAAATATTTTGAAAAACACATATTTTATTTTTTTCTAAAAAATATATTAAGTTGGTTATATTATCCCTAATGTGTACACCAAGTTTGGTCATGGGATTGCCATGGGTTCATGGTTAAAATAATGTTTTATTAGTGGTGGTTTTTACTACATCAACGCAATTTAGGTTAAAATAAAATAAAAATCTCATTAAAAAAATCTGGGTGGATAAAGATCCATAGGAAAATAGGTATAATATCAATGTTAGCAGTTATTAACTAATTGAAATTAACTAACTGGAAAAACCTACAAAGTATATCCATCCCTTGTAAATATTCTTAAAATAATAACATGATAAAATACCCCCGCCGCAGCAAACCTGCAGACTAAGCGAATTTCCATTTCCCTGAATGGATTTACACTAAAATGTCTCCTTAAAAATATCACATTTATTCCCTATTTAAAAAGAATCAGTTTAAAACATACTTAGGTTTGCTGCAACAGGGAGGGTAAAAGTGTTTTTATGTAAAATGTTAATAGTTGGTAAGAAATAAAAACATTTTCCAAATTTGGGCAAAATGTGTTAATAAACAAGCAAACTACAACAGTACTTATTCTCCATAAGAATAACATAGAAATTTTAAATTTACAATTTTTTGGAATTTTTTCCGTAACTATTAGGCGCATTATAACGCTTCAATATACTAAATTATTTGTTTTTTTAAGCTCTACAAAATAGTTTAGAAAGAAATTGCAAAATTTTATGTTTTTTGGGTCAAAAATGGGAAAAACCCATTTTTACCCCATAAAAGCCCCCATAAACCCCCGTTCCCATGGTCCGATCATGCTGGTTCGCGAACTCGTTCGAATAAACTTAGGTTTACACATTTGTACCAAATTTCATCAAAATCGGATCATTTTTGCTCGAGTTATTGCGCTAACGGACACACATATATATATATATATATATACCCCCGTCGCAGCAAACCTGCATACTAAGCAAATTTCCATTTACCCGGCTTGATTTCTACTAAAATATTCCCTATAAATTTTCAGATTTATTTCCTATTTAAATAACATTAATTTTAGTGAGTAGTTAGGTTTGCTGCTACGGGGAAGATGTTGAGGTGTGTTTTTTCAATTGAAATATTGATAGCTTAGTATGAAATAAACCAAATTGCCAAATTTGATTAAAATATATCCATAAACAAGCAAACTAGAGCAGTTTATTTATTCTCCATAAAAATAACATGGGAATTTTAAATTTACAATTTTTTTTAATTTTCTCTGTAGTCAATGAACATTCAAAAACACTTCAATATACTAAATTATTTGTTTTTTAAAGCTCTTCAAACTGGTATAGAGAGAAATTTAGAAATTTAAAGTTTTTAGGGTCAAAAATGAGAAAAACCCATTTTTACCCCATAAAACCCCCCATAAACCCCTGATCCCATGGTCCGATTATGCTGGTTCGCGAACTCGTTCGAATAAATGTAGGTTTACACGTTTGTACCAAATTTCATCAAAATCGGATCAATTTTGCTAGAGTTATCACGCTAACGGACACATATATAAATATATATATATATATAAATATGAATTTGAACGGATGGTGTTTTTGGCCTCTGGGGACCTCAAAACGAAAAAGTAAATCGGTCCCGGGTCTAGGTCTTACCATGAGACCTACGGTAATAGCTTATTTCCTATATGGGAAATTCGCTAAAAATGAATTTTATAAAATTAGCTTAAGGCGTATTTGGATATATTTTTTTGCTTCCGACATTTTTCATTTATATTAATTCATATATTTAATTGCAAGCTGAGTAATACTGTTCCCAGCAATTGTGCCATTATCATCTCTTGTGATATGTGTGCACCACAGACTTCAAATGCAAAGTGAACAAACTCTGTAGTGCTAGTGGACTTGAGCTTGTATCAACTTGAAAAACAAGTAGAGACATGAAAACTTCCTACAGGTAGAAACAAGAGATGATAATGGCACAATTGCTGGAAACAGTATTACTCAGCTTGCAATTAAATATATGAATTAATATAAATGAAAAATGTCGGAAGCAAAAAAATATATCCAAATCTTAAGCTAATTTTATAAAATCCATTTTTTTATCATGTTATTATTTTAAGAATATTTACAAGGGATATACTTTGTAGGTTTTTCCAGTTAGTTAATTTCAATTAGTTCATAACTGGTAACATTGATATTATACCTATTTTCCTATGGATCTTTATCCACCCAGATTTTTTTTAATGAGATTTTTATTTTATTTTAACCTAAATTGCGTTGATGTAGTAAAAACCACCACTAATAAAACATTATTTTAACCATGAACCCATTGCAATCCCATAACCAAACTTGGTGTACACATTAGTGATAATATGACAAACTTAAAATAATTTTTTGAAAAAAATAAAAATATGTGTTTTTCAAAATATTTTATTTTGAAAATTTATTTTTGAATTTGACAAAATTTTTGTTTTCATAACCTATTATGTGTTGCATATCATTAGAAAGGGCATAAAAAGGGCTAAACAATGACACCTCTCCCATGTTTCTAGCTTAAACATGAGAAGAGTTATGACTATTTTAAAGTTTTACCGCAGCGCGATTTTGACCATTTTTTTGAAAATTTCAAATGGCCGTATTTTGGGAACGGGTTGAGATATTTAGCTGAAATTTGGTATTTTTTTTAGTCTTCATAAAGGTAACCTATATACCAAATTTCATCAAAATCTAAGATGGTAAGGTAAAAAATATGTTAAAAGTGTGTTGATTTGATATGGACTGACCCTAACCCAACTTCACTAACGAAATGAATGAAACAATCGAATAATCAATATTACTCATTCGGTTATTTGTACAAACAGATAACTTATGGAAGTGTACCCCAAATGAGCCCTTATTAGGTCTATGTTTCAATATCTGTTGTAAAGCTCAGATGTTTTAGACCTAAAACATTTACACGATCACACATTATAGCATACTAAGAGTGTCAACAATCTGCAATAAGTTAACTTAAGTTAATTGAGACCCAATCAATTGTGATTTAAATAAATACTGATTTGATACATAGGTAAGCTATCTTTATGGTTGAAAGGCTGATCTTTAAGTTAAACCTTGGAAATTCACTTACATAGGCCTAACTTATGTAGCCTAGGCCTCGTTTACATTTGTAAGCTAAACGATCACAGTAGGTTAGGCAACTTAACACAGTTTGTGCAGTTGTGCACTGTTTAACCCTAGCAGTGGCCAACGATTGTAATACGCCCGTTTGCCGTGACGGCCAGAATGGCCACCAGCGTAATACGATAGTATGGACCAAAATTTTTTTAATGGTAAAAGAACCACACTTATCAACTCTAATGTGAACAAAATATATATACCATTTGAAAGATCTCATTTTGAACATTCATTTTATTAGGTATATAAACAAACCCTGTAGCAGGTATTAACAGTGTCACGATGATTAGAAATCAAATGAATTTTTGGCATGGCACGACTGTTGCAGCTGACACTTGGGAACTGTCAAAATACAACTTTTTTGGCATTACCCTGCTCGGGTAATTTTTGACTTGGGATGTTGTGGGTGGTACCACTGGATAGCCATTGATTTTATATTCATTGTGGTGTTGATATTTAGAACGAAATATTGATTGTAGCCTACAACAGGTACGATTTTATGAAAAAGTTGTTTTTGAAATTTATAACCAATGGCCAACCATCGTAATACGCTAGTACGGAAAATATGAATTACATACAGTGTAAGTTATTATTACTAGTCATGTAATATGTCATTTTGAAGAAGAAATGTAGCTTGTGATAGGTAGTGGCAGCCCTGCGCTCAGGGCTATTTCCGTTTTCTCTCAGGAAGACGACGAAAGTGCGTCACTACTGTCAAAGGTCTCATACACTGTCAAAGGTGCCTTGTATTCGCGTGTTGTTGCGAATTTTTCGTCGAGAGTGAATTTTCACTCTTGTGTTTTCTGCGGTTTAGGCCTATTACTAAATTCGTTATTATTTCGTATTGTTAGAGAAATGTGTGTGTGTAAATAACAGTAATCTTCATGCATTTTAT